TCCCAGCTCTCTTCAGGTCATTGACCAGGTCCTCCCGTGTAGTTCTAGGCTGATCCCTCACCTTTCTCAGGATTATTGATACTCCACGAGGTGAGATCTTGCATGGAGCCCCAGTCCGAGGGAGATTGACAGTCATCTTGAATTTCTTCCATTTTCTAATAATTGCGCCAACAGTTGTTGCCTTCTCACCAAGCTGTTTGCCTATTGTCCTGTAGCCCGTCCCAGCCTTGTGCAGGTCTACAATTTTGTCCCTAGTGTCCTTAGAGAGCTCTTTGGTCTTCCCCATAGTGGAGAAGTTGGAGTCTGATAGATTATGTGGACAGGTGTCTTTTATACAGGTAATGAGTTCAAACAGGTGCAATTAAACCAGGCAATGAGTGGAGGATAGGAGGGCTTCTTAAAGACAAACTAACAGGTCTGTGAGAGCCAGAATTCTTGCTGGTTTGTATGTGATCAAATACTTATTTCATGCAATAAAATGGAAATAAATTATTTGAAAATCTAACAATGTAATTTTTACTGGAATTTTGTGTGTAGATTCTGTCTCAGTTGAGGTGTACCTACGATGAAAATTACAGAACTGTCAATTCTCTGTAAGTGGGAAAACTTGAAAAATTGGCAGTGTATCAAATACTTATTTGCCCCAATGTACATCTGAAACAAACCCCTCTATTTTTCCCTAACTCAGCTACTGGTCCGTTTGATTTATTGAACAAATTGGGGATTTTTCAGGACACAAGACCTTTTCTTTTTTGAAAAAAGGTTAAATTACAACAGACAGAACCAGTCGACACATTGAAATTGAAAATGTTTTTCTTTCAAACTTCATTCACTCTTTTATTCCAGGGAGGGAATTTTGCTGCCGACTGAACTGTACAATTTAACACTTGAAACACTATGAAACACTCATATTTGAGGAACAGTTGATTCTTCAATTTCTTGGTGATTTTTGAAGATTTCAGTTTCCTGAGAAATTCTGCTGGCTGAAAACTTCCCGCTCTGTGTTGCCTTGAAACAGAAAACACTGTAAAATTTAAGTTATTGCTGTAAAATCTTAAAACGTTCAGTTTTTAAGCACATAATTTATAACAAAGAATTTTGCCATAATAGATTTTCACTTTTTTTTCATGACCAAGTTGAATTTCATTGTTTTTATGTGGATGCTAGGCAAAAAAGAGAAAAATGTTTTGGTAAAATGTTAAATGATAATGAACAATAAAATTCAACATTAGGTGCAAACTAGGCCACTTCGTTGTTTGACTGGTTTCGGGATGGAATTGTTTGTGTTGACCATAAAGGTGCTTTAAAGAAACTGAGCAAAAATGTTGTCTCATGTGCATTCACTTCATCTGTGTTAGTTGCATCAACACACATGTAGTCATGACATCTGCTTCCATTTCTTTCGGGAACTTTTACAGGCTTTGGTGACTCCTGTTAGCAAAGTTCTGGCAGCAGCTTCAGCTTTTAGCTCTGAAACGGTGGGTGTGTTCCAAAACCTAACCAGGCCAACCCGGTCTCTGTTCATTTTAACTACACTAATAAGCATCATGCTGGTGTTATCAGTGTGTGCCCCCTGTTAAAAAGTGTTTACTGTAGCGCCCCCTCTTGGTGGTTAGGGATAGGATGAAGTTAAGGTTGAGTTACAGTATAAGTGGGAAGCAAGTAGCTGTTAAGAATAGGTTTTTAGTTTGGCTGTGTAAATATTTTATCAGCATTTGATTTCTTCTGCTGTTATACAGTATTGTTCAAAATAATAGCAGTACAATGTGACTAACCAGAATAATCCAGGTTTTTAGTATATTTTTTATTGCTACATGGCAAACAAGTTACCAGTAGGTGCAGTAGATTCTCAGAAAGCAAACAAGACCCAGCATTCATGATATGCACGCTCTTAAGGCTGTGAAATTGGGCAATTAGTTGAAAGGGGTGTGTTCAAAAAAATAGCAGTGTCTGCCGTTGACTGTACAAACACAAAACTATGTTGTACAAACGTTTTTGTTTCTAGGATTTAGCAATCCTGTGAATCACTAAACTAATATTTAGTTGTATGACCACAGTTTGTTATAACTGCTTCACATCTGTGTGGCATGGAGTCAACCAACTTGTGGCACCTTTCAGCTGTTATTACACTCCATGATTCTTTAACAACATTCCACAATTCATTTACATTTCTTGGTTTTGCTTCAGAAACAGCATTTTTGATATCACCCCACAAGTTCTCGATTGGATTAAGGTCCGGGGATTGGGCTGGCCACTCCATAACATTAATTTTGTTGGTTTGGAACCAAGACTTTGCTCGTTTACTAGTGTGTTTGGGGTCATTGTCTTGTTGAAACAACCATTTCAAGGGCATGTCCTCTTCAGCATAAGGCAACATGACCTCTTCAAGTATTTTGACATATGCAAACTGATCCATGATCCCTGGTATGCGATAAATAGGCCCAACACCATAGTAGGAGAAACATGCCCATATCATGATGCTTGCACCACCATGCTTCACTGTCTTCACTGTGTACTGTGGCTTGAATTCAGAGTTTGGGGGTCGTCTCACAAACTGTCTGTAGCCCTTGGACCCAAAAAGAACAATTTTACTCTCATCAGTCCACAAAATGTTCCTCCATTTCTCTTTAGGCCAGTTGACGTGTTCTTTGGCAAATTGTAACCTCTTCTGCACGTGCCTTTTTTTTAACAGAGGGACTTTGCGGGGGATTCTTGAAAATAGATTAGCTTCACACAGACGTCTTCTAACTGTCACAGTACTTACAGGTAACTCCAGACTGTCTTTGATCATCCTGGAGCTGATCATTGGCTGGGCCTTTGCCATTCTGGTTATTCTTCGATCCATTTTGATGGTTGTCTTCCGTTTTCTTCCACGTCTCTCTGGTTTTGCTCTCCATTTTAAGGCATTGGAGATCATTTTAGCTGAACAGCCTATAATTTTTTGCACCTCTTTATAGGTTTTCCCCTCTCCAATCAACTTTTTAATCAAAGTACGCTGTTCTTCTGAACAATGTCTTGAACGACCCATTTTCCTCAGGCTTTCAAATGCATGTTCAACAAGTGCTGGCTTCATCCTTAAATAGGGGCCACCTGATTCACACCTGTTATTTCACAAAATTGATGACCTCACTGATTGAATGCCACACTGCTATTTTTTTAACACTTTTATTATTGCCTACTGAGCAATAATAACCTTTAGCCCAAACAATGTTTGATCTTCTTCAGGTTGTCACACATAACTGTCTTCCCTGTACAATGAAATTCTTACTTTGCTGTCCACATGAATGCCATGCAATACAAGTGAAATATAAAGTAGATAAACCCATCCATCCTTTTTCCTCCGCTTCTCTGGAACAGGGTCTCGGGGGCAGCAGTCTAAGAAAAGATGCCCAGACTTCCCTCTCTCCAGACACTTCCTCCAGCTCCCCCAGGGGAATGCCAAGGTGTTCCCAGGCCAGCCGAGAGACATAGTCCCTCCAGCGTGTCCTGGGTCTCCCCCAGGGCCTCCTCCCGGTGGGACATACCCGGAACACCTCCCTAGGAAGGCGCCCAGGAGGCATCCGAAACAGATGCCCGAGCCACCTCACCTAGCTCCTCTCAATGTGGAGGAGCAGTGGTTCTACTCTGAGCTCCTCTCGGGTGACCGAGCTCCTCACACTATCTCTAATGTCCCCAGTTAAGGTCAACAGCTGCCCACCTTCACTGTAAACAGTTTTGGCAGAGCACTGCTTCCCCCTCCTGAGGCGCCGGACAGTTTGCCAGAATCTCTGAGGCCGACCGATAGTCCTTTTCCATGGCCTCACCGAACTCTTCCCAGACCCGAGTTTTTGCCTCCGCAACCGCCTGGGCTGCAGCCCGCTTGGCCTGCCGGTACCTGTCAGC